ACATCCAACCACCCATTTGAAGCTCATAATCCACTTGGTAGCTATGGAAAGAGGAAAATAATAAGGGAAAAGTAAGCAGGCATTTGCTAAAGTTAGGCTAACTAAAACCCTTTGTAGTGAGCCTTACTAGACGTGGGGACAACAGTAAGCATTCCAAAAGACTTGCCACTCTGGTGTCTTTTAGGCCATTGGAGTAGGTTGAAATTATTAGGCTGAAAATGAAAACCTTGTTTACTGTTGCAATAATGTTTGGATTCCGTAAAAACTGATAAACCAACATATTTATTCTAGACATGGTTGTTTACATTATAATGATATTGTACAATTAGATTTGTTGTATAAAAAGGAAATAAAATGGGAAAAGGTTTTCTGTGTGTAGGCTTTTATTTCCCTCTACCAGGATCCTAATCTAAGGGCTAGCTGTAGAAAATGTCTGGCTCATGATACTCCCATGCACCAAGAAGCTGCAGGTCTGTGCTCCCACCTCAGAGTCTCCCGAGTCCCCTTAGTTTTGAGGGAGATCCACTAGTTCTCTAGCACAGAATTCCACTCCAAGGACACCAGGAACCCCTCCCCCTTATCCAACATGCCCTGGTCCCTTTCCCCGTTGCCTGAAGAATTAAGCCAGGTTCAAAAGGCCCTCCAAGCATATGGAAACACACCCCCATATTCAAGCAGGAGATGTAGTCTTGCTGAAAACTTGGACAGAAAGATCCCCTGAAGATTAATTACAACCAAAATGGAAGGGCCACTATCAGGTATTGAGTACTTCCACTACTGTTAAACTTCAGGGAATGACTAGTTGTGCAAAAATGTCCAGAATTAAACCTGTTTCTTATGAGTCACAGGCACAAAAGGAGGACATCATGGCCTACAGATGTGAGGTTTTGGAAGACCTCTGGTAGCTATTTAAAAGATTCAACAATCAGCCAAAGGTGGTAACATGATGCTGTAGGTGGAAATAGGAGCTTAATTTTTCTCTTCTTGATTGAACTTCTTTTCTGTTGCTTTAGCCAACTTCTGGGAAACACCTTGTTTGGTACAGAGGCTGTGCTAATTCCTAGCTAGACACCATGTTGTCACTGTTAATGCTGTTTGCTCTCCCAATTACCATGATCCAGTGTGGGTGAGAATATAACTCTACAGTAAAGATTTCAAAAACTATAGCATCAAGAAATCATCTTGACAGTTGCTAGATTTGTCATCAACATCTCTAGGACAGAGAGTTCTATCTTATGGCTTATCTGGAAAATCTTATGACCATCCCTGCCCTGGCCTCCTAACTAACCATAGCAATCCTTAAATAATCAAACCCTACTAGTTAAGTGCAATTCGCCCCCACTTAATGTATTCCACCTGAACTCCTCTTCTAGCACTATTACCTGGACCTTGGAAATTAGATATCCATATCTCCACTGCATGAATGATTCTATACTTTGCATTCACATCTGTGTTCATAACACAAAAGTGGAAGCTTCCCCATGATGCTCTGATCCAACTTTAGTTGCCAAGTTCGCAAGGCAGCAGTAAGTGGGATTCCACTTGTAAGTGAGAAGACAACATACATGGTGCCTTCTGTATCATAACATACACAGGAGAAACAACTGTCCAGTCCAGAAAGGTGGAAGTACTGCCCACTTCTAGGAAACAAAGATTATCTGACCACCCCCATTGGAACACGAGGAAAATATCTCTAGAGACCCAACCTGGTAGCAAAGAATAAACATCACACCCTGTAGGGCTTCTGTCTGTGGCCATGAGTGGGAATAAGTCACAACTGTCACCACTCCCAACTCTTTAGGGAGTCACCTGTTCTTTTAGGAGTAGCCTTCCTTTGTCTGTCAAGAACTTGGAACAGAGGTGAATATACTGGGCACCCTTGACCCACCAGGGGTCACTGTCTATAACCGCGATAGATGCAAGAATACCAGAAGTAAGCAAGCAATAGAATTAATTCTGGCAGAAATGAGGGCAGTGATAGGATTAGCAGCACCCTGGGGCAGCTTTGCTGTTAACCCTAAGGAACTTGACTCAAACCCTTAGAAATGTTAGCCACCAACACACATCAGGCATTAAAGAGAATTCAAGTCCTTAGATTCGCTGGCAAATGTAGTTCTCCATAAGAGACTAGTGTTGAATTATTTACTAGTTGAACAAGGAGGAGTCTATGAAGTTATTAGTAAAACCTGCTGCATATATATTAACAAATCTGGACAAGTTGAGATTAACATTCAAAAGGTCTGTGAGCAAGTTACCTGGTTCCATAGATATAATCAGGGTGCTGGCTCCAAGTATATCCGGTTAACTACCAAAAGTACCTTCCCAAGTCCCACCTGTTTTTACCTTTGAAAGCTATCTTGGTACTATTCTTTTTCACTTGCTTGTTTAACCTCTTAGTAAGGTTGTGTGTCTTCTAGATTACAACACTTCCAAATAGAGACAATGCTGGCAGGAGGATTCCAACCCATCCTGTCTACTGATCCAGAGAATAAAAGTGTCCTTTACCTGGGCCCCTTAGATGAGGTACCCAGGGATTTGTACTCCTCCAGTGCTATGCGGGGCTCAGCAGGAAGCAGTTACAGAATATAGACCTCTGTTCTTCTACAGTACCCTTAAGATTAAGGAGCATCTACTCTCTGAGTAGATTTTTGTTTTGTGCAAAATAGTGGGGCTTGTGCTTCCAGGTAGGATGGAGTGAATAAAGATGAAACAAAAATAGAAAAACAAAAAGATTCATTTAAAGTGTAAGCTTTAAAGGCCAGAGAGGAATACACAAGATAAGATGAGGGGAGAATGCGATAGGAGGTGGGACTTGACTCCAGAGGTGGGGCTCAGACACTGGACCCGATTAAGGACTAGCTAAAACAAAGCCAGAGCAAAAGCAGCTTTACAGATATCCCAATCAGTGTGCCATATCTAGTTACTGTTGCCACTGCAACACTTGGGGCTTACCTCCCCTTTCCATGGCAATGACCTGACAACCCAACTTACTATGCCTTGCCTAAAAATTTCTGCACGACCCACCTCTCAATCTGATATTATAGGAAATCTGGCTGTGCATGTGTGTGCTCTCACTATGGGTATCTTATACCTTGGCATAAACAGAGAAACCCAGGACTGGCAGGGGGAAACATGTGGCACAAGGAGAAATGTACTGACCTCTATTACAACCCAAAAGAGCAGGGCCTTATGGTGGCATGTGATAAATGAGGCAGGTGACACCAATGGATTTAATGTGATTTGAAGCTGTCAATTGTGGAGAACTTCTTCCTAAAGAAATAGTCACTATTGTGAAAATTCTGATTTAAATGTTTCACACGTAAAAACAGATGAACAATTATTTGGCTTACAATATTTGAGTAAAAACATTTTTGTTCCCACCTGACTGTGGCTTTTATTGGAACAACCCACCATTAACAATAACAAAACTTAGATGAAAGACATGAAACAGCTGCTTTAAGGCATGAAGGCAGCCTGCTCAGACAAGGTTTTCTGAGGCAGAATTCATGAGAAAAGGGAGAGTCAATGATGTATCACATTCACATTGGTTTGAAAATTAACAAAATGCATTTGAAAATTAACATCATGGGAAGATAAAGTCCCAGAATAAGACAGCCTATCTAGCATGAGGAAAAATAAGCTAAAATTTTTGTTTTGTGCAAAATAGTGGGGCTTGTGCTTCCAGGTAGGATGGAGTGAATAAAGATGAAACAAAAATAGAAAAACAAAAAAACAAATTCATTTAAAGTGTAAGCTTTAAAGGCCAGAGAGGAATACACAAGATAAGATTCCATAAATAAAAGAGCCCTTGTTAGGAGAAGTGAGAATATTAAATATTTATACACAGAACAGAAAAGCTGTTAAAAGCCCATGGCAACAAAAAGCTCTATGTTACGAGACTCAAACCTGATTCTGGGAGATATTCATGCAAACTTAACCACAGTTATCCAGCACTGCCAATTTTTATTTAAGTAGATTTTATTTGTAATTAGTTTTATTTTTACAATGTTAAATTGTATATTGCCTATAATTATCAACGTTGTATTATATACTTAAAAATTTGCTACAGGTTGTTATATAAGTGGTTTTATCACAACGAAAACAATGATAAATGAGGGAGGAAACTTTTGGAGAGGATGAATGTTTGTGGCAAAGATGATAGTGATGGCTTCATGGGCTTATCCTTATCTCTAAACACATTAAGTCGTATACATTAAATTACAACAGCTTTTGTCAATTACATGGATAAAGTGGTTTAAAAACAAAACAGGAGAATCTATGCACCATAAGACTATATTTATAAAGTGAGTCTTTCATAATCTATTTTTTTTTTTTTTGAGACAGAATCTAACTCCATCACTAGGTGCCAGGCTGTAGTGCTGTGGCGTGACGTCGGCTCACTGCAACCTCCGCTAAGTGCAACCTCTGCCTCCCAGGTTCAAGCAATTCTCCTGCCTCAGCCTCTCGAGTAGCTGGGCGCGCTACCACGCCCAGCTAATTTTTTTGTATTTTTAGTAGAGATGGGGTTTCACCATGTTGGCCAGGATGGTCTCAAATCTCTTGACCTCATGATCTGCCCGCCTTGGTCTCCCGAAGTGCTGGGATTACAGGCATGAGCCACCGTGCCTGGCCTCATAATCCATGTTTGATTTAATCATTACCATGTACGTATATACCACTAATATAGTTAAGACACATAATTTTGTGTTCTATGTGTGTTCATTCCATTGAATGTCACTGTCTTTTTGTTTTGAGCCAGAGTCTCACTCTGTTGCCCAGGCTGGAGTGGCTTGCCGTGGCATGATCTTTGCTCACTGCAAGCTCCACCTCCCAGGTTCAAGTGATTCTCCTGCCTCAGCCTCCTAACTACTTCTATAAGCATATACCACCATGCCCAACTAATTTTGTATTCTTAGTAGAAATGGGGTTTCACCATGTTGGCCATGCTGGTGTCGAACTCTTAACCTCAAGGATCCACCTACTTCAGCCTCTCAAAGTGCTGAGATAACAGGTGTGACCCACCATGCAGGGTCCTATTTTCTAACTGACCCTAATCAATGTGTTAAAAACTGAATTAAAATCCTAGAGTTTAATCAACCTATTATTTAGCAACAACACTTAATGCTTGCACTTTTGACAGTACTAATTTAGTCTTATTACTTCTTACATAATTCCGCATTCAGTATTCCCAGGTTATTTCAGAATTGTACATTTCATCCTATATATTTTCAGTAGAAAATCTTTGTTCAAAACTATACTTTTTTTCCCTCAAGCATATGCTTGATGGTTTTATTTCTTGACCCCCGGCTATACATCTCATAAATGGCTCTTTAGACTTTTCTTTCCTGTCTTTTTTTGACATAAAAGCTGCCTGAAGGTTTTCTCACTATCATGTCAAGATTGTTTTCTCAGTGGAAAAATGCTGTTATTTATTAAGTAATGAGTAATTTACTGAGAACTACCCTCCATTCATGACATTTTGAGTTCTACCACATGTGAATTCTGGTCTATCATACAAGTGCTACTCTATTAAGAAAAGGATTTCTCACAAGTTTCCATGGAATAACTTCTCCACTATGAGTTTCTGGAATTGTTCAAGAACCTTCATCCACCTAATAAAAAATATTTCCATATATTTACCATTTTATCAGTTACCTGATAATGAATTTTCTGGCACACACCAAAATTGGTGCTTAGCTGAATGAGAGTGCACAGCAATTACTAACATATGGTTTTTCTCCTGTGGATTTTACTGATTTGTTTAAAGGGTAAATTAACAATGAAGGCATTTTCACATTGATGACAGGCATAGAATTTCTCTGACATGATTTCTCCCTTTGTTTAACAGTTAGAGCTGTGGATGAAGATTCCTCCATATTCTTTTGATCTATAGTTTCATTCTCTCATGTTGTATATGATCAGCCTAGAGTCTGAAGTTTGTGCCATATAGATGAAATACATATGGATTGTACCTTGAATTTAGGTAGAATGAAGTGGTAATTTATAAATAAAGTCTTTTCCACACTAATTACAGACATAATGTTCCTGTAATATGTTAGTACTCTTGTGTATTTAGTGTTAACGCTATGACTGATGACTCTTAATATTCATTACTTTTTAGTGTGAGTTCTCTCATGCTGTCTAAGGTTAAAAAATTTACTAAAGGCTTTTCCACATAGAGGACAAACATATGGTTTCTCTCCGGTGTGAACTCTCTTATGAAGTCTAAAATTATAACTTCTATTGAAGGCTTTACCACATATATTGCATTCATATGGTTTCTCTCCAGTGTGAGTTTTCTCGTGTCGTCTAAGGACAGAAGAGTGATTGAAGGCTTTTCCGCAGAGATGGCATTGATATGGTTTTTCTCCAGTGTGAGTTCTCTCATGTCGCCTAAGGTCAGAAGATTCAGTGAAGGCTTTCCTGCATATATGACACTCATATGGTTTCTCTCCAGTGTGAGTTCTCTCATGTCGTTTAAGCACAGAAGATTCAGTGAAGGCTTTCCCACATAGATGACAGCCATGTGGTTTCTCTCCATTGTGACTTCGCTCATGTTGTCTAAGGTGAGAACAATGAGAGAAGGCCTTTCCACATAGATGACACTCATATGGTTTCTCTCCATTGTGAGTCCTCTCATGTTGTCGAAGGTAAGAACATTTACTGAAGGCCTTCCCACATAGATGACACCCATATGGTTTATCTCCTAAGTGAGTTCTCTCATGCTTTCTAAGGTCAGAGCAATGAGTGAAGGCTTTCCCACATAGATGGCATATCTGTGCTTTCTCTCTAGTGTGAATTATCTCATGTCGTCTAAGGTTAGAACTTTTACTGAAGGCTTTCCCACATAGATGACATCCATATGGTTTCTCTCCAGTGTGAGTTCTCTCATGTTTTCGAAGATCAGAGCAATGAGTAAAGGCTTTCCCACACAGATCACATCTGTGTGGTTTCTCTCCAGTGTGAATCATCTCATGTCGCCTAAGATTTGAATTTTTGCTGAAGGTTTTCCCACACACATGACATTCCAGAGTTATCTGTCTATTTTCAGTCACATTGTGTGGCCTAAGGTCAGAGCTTTGCATAAAGGCATAATCAAATAGATGACTTACATATGATTTATACCTAGTGTAAATTTGCTTGTGTTGATTAAAGGATAACTGGTTACTGAAGGTTTTCCCAAACATTTTGCTTACAAAGTGTTTCTTACTCATGTAAGGAACCATATTTTGAGTCAATGGTTTATGTTGAGTGAAATCGTCTCCTAAATCATTACATAGAAAAGGATCATCTTGGGTATGAGATCTCTGGTTTTGGGAAGGAAATGAAAGACTATTAAAGTATTTATCCATACTCATTCATTCATTACTTCATTTCTCTACATATTAATTCTAGAATAATCATTCAGTAGTAGACTGCAGTTACAATTGTTCCTGTATTATGTAACTGCATGTAGAGAGTTTTTCTACTGTAGTATCCCAACGAAGAGCTATATGACTTGTTAAGACTTTATCATGTTTGAAAATTTCAGTACCTAGTCATGTTTATATAACTGTCCTGTTATAAGGCCTCGTGTTATGGTTTTGATTTCAAGTTAATTTCTTCACTAAATCCAAACCAACTAAAACTTTCTGCTGGGACAGCTTTGAGTACAGTCAGGTACCTGTACCAAATTCCAAACTTGTTCAATTTCCAGGTTTCTATTTGGCGGAACAGGGTTTGCATGCATAAAGCTTACCATTGTGCTGATGGCTGATGTGTCCTTCTGATAAATGTGCTGAAAGAATGGTATTTCTTGATGTTTAATGTCACCTTCTTTACCTGAAATAAATGAAAAAAAATAAAAGATGCTATATAGGCATTAGGGGAATAACAATGTTAAATAGCTCTGAAGTCCATTTGAGTGCTCAAATACATAAAGACAAGGAAAGCATGTCAAATTAACAATACTTTAAGGAGAAGAGTATTATAGAACATTGATTACTGACATTTTTAGCATATAAAAAACTAAGAAGGCAAGTTGAAGAAGGAAGAAAAATTTTCAAAGAAGAGGACCATTTCAAAATGCCATTATATGATCGTTTAACTCAAATGAGTTCACAAATACCCCCTTTACAAAAGCCAAAGACAATGATAGAGAGATACTTGAATAAAAATTGATACCTACGAAGTATAATGACAGTATCTGAGAAATGTTTCCCTTAAGCTTTTGCCTACATTTCAAAAACACTGCAAATTTAAGAAACCTTCCAGCTGGGCAAGGTGGCTCATGCCCGTAATCCCAGCACTTCGGGAGGCTGAGGCAGGTGGATTTCTTGAGGTCAGGAGTTTGAGATCAGCTTGGCCAACATGCTGAAACCCCCTCTACTAAAAATAGAAAAAAAAAATTAGCTGGGTGTGGTGGTACACACCTGTAGTCCTAGCTACTTAGGAGGCTGAGGCAAGAGAATCACTTGAACCTGGGAGGGAGAGGTTGCACTGAGCTAAGACTGAGCCACTGCACTCCAGCCTGGGTGAGAGAGTGAGATTTCATCACCAAAAAACCCCAGAAATCTTCCTTTGGCAACTGTTGGGACCTACTCACTCACTGGCCAAATTCCTCCTCCTCCTATTGAAGCACTGTTTCTTATAGCTCACCTTGCAGTAAGCTTATTCCTTGTGTTGAAAGTTTCTCTACTTGCTCCAAATGGGAAAACACAACTGATTTGCAGAATTGATTGCCTGTTTTTGGGAAAAAGACGTGGATTTTGAGTTCTATGTTGACAATTATTCATGGTTATCAAGTACAGGGCAGGCTACTGGAAAGGGCAAGATAGCCATTGGAGATCAGCCAGGGAAGAGTCCCTTGAAGACAACATTGACAGTCCTTCATGAGCAAAGGGAAAACTCTTGAACTTCTTCCCAGACATAAAAGACCTATAATTGCTGATGTCCATGCCTAACTTGAAAGATGTATTGCAGAATCTGGAGTATTTTCAATTAGTGAGAAATCACAGGTTTTCACAGCGTTTGATATTATATTAAAAAATAATCTGATTGGGCATGGTGGCTCATGCCTGTAATCCTAGCACTATGGGAGGCTAAGGTGGGCAGATCATGAGGTCAAGAGATTGAGACCAACTGGCCAACATGGTAAATCCCCATCTCTACTAAAAACAAAAAACTTAGCTGGGTGTGGTGGCACATACATGTAGCCCCAGTTACTTGGGAGGCTGAGGCAAGAGAATTGCTTCAACCTGGGAGGCAGAGGTTGCAATGATCCAAGATTGTGCCATTGTACCCCAGCCTGGCGACAGAGTGAGACTCCATCTCAAAAAAAATTCAGTAAACACTAGCTGTACCAGAACAATCTAGGTTCTGTGCAGAACAGTCCCCGTGATAGAATTATTATTTTAATTATACATTCAAAAGCAGGGTATTCCCATTTTCTGAGTTTGGGAAACTGAAGAGTAAGGAGGATGTGAAATTGTGGTTGAAAGATGACATTCTAGAGAGATGACAATATAAGTGAATCAATATAAGTGAAAAGGAAACAAATGGCTGTCAGGTAGTTGTGAGAGTAATAAAAGGATCGAGGCAGAGGATGAAGTGATAGATGAGAAAGCTGTTTTAGACACATGTAGAATGAAGGAATCAATCAGTAAAAAATGGGTGAGTGAATGAATATATATATACATACATAATAAACATAAAGAGACTTACCAATAGAGACCAGATGACTGATGTTCTCCAACATCACATCTCGAAACAGCTTTCTCTGGGAAGTGTCCAACAGGGCCCATTCTTCCCGAGTGAAGTCTACAACTATATCCTCAAAGGTCATGGAATCCTAAAACATTATGGACATTCTACTTCAAACAGTGCTATCTTTGCCAATGTTCAGTGGAGCATGATCAAAGTGACTGTATTAAGAAGTGTGGGTGGTATGAACAGAAAACTCAAACAGTGTTTGGAGTTCCTGATCATGTCTCATTGCTTTAAATGTGAATTAGGATTCTGGCTTTCAGATATACACAGACAGGAAACTTCACATAGAGAAAAACCACATGAAGTGTGGCATATAACCTGAAGATTTCCCAATAGACTTCTAGGTATAACTTCCAGATACTAATTATAAAATCTGCGCTTAGAAATTCAGAATTAAAATTCTCCTCTCCACCACCTTCATGAAAATCCATAGACTCATCACAAAGGAGGTAGTATTCATAATTTGTCATTTTTGTTTTCTGAGACGGAGTCTTGCTCTTGTCGCCCAGGCTGGAGTTCAGTGGCATGATCTTGGCTCACTGCAGCCTCCGCCTCCCAGGTTCAAGCGATTCTCCTGTCTCAGTCTCCTGAGTAGCTGGGATTATAGGCACCCACCACCACACTCAGCTAATTTTTGTATTTTTAGTAGAGATGGGGTTTTAGGATTTTTGTCATGTTGGCCAGGTTGGTCTTGAACTCCTGACCTCATGATTCACCCACCTCAGCCTCCCAAAGTGCAGGGATTAGACGTGTGAGCCACCATACCTGGCCTACTTTGTCACATTTTAATCATGACTATAGTTAGATATTCCCCTACAATAACTCAGTGTCGTCAAGAATAAAATAAAGACCTGTTAGGAGTTGCAAACGATCCAGTAAGGTAATATGTAAAGTGGTTCCTATGTATCAAACATTTTTAGATACAAGGTACAAATATATTATTCATGAAATGACTGAGACACACAACACTCAGTTGACTGAACAACTATGATACAGAACTTGATATTAGCAGATGCAGCTTCTTTTTTGTTTTGAGCCAGTCTCAAAACATGGATAAGGATGAATGGCTCAGCAGCACAGGCCAGGGGCCCTAAAACTTGAGTACTGAAAGATGGTCTCATTCTGACACTTCCCATGGTCTGAGGACTTCCTGTCTCAATTTCTTCTGGGACCTCAAAAAACTAGGTGATATGGTTTGGCTCTATGTTCCCACCCAAATCTCATCTTGCATTGTAATCTCCACATGTTAGGAGAGGGCCTGGTGGGAGGTGACTGTATCATGGGGGTGAACTTCCCCCTTGCTGTTCTCATGATAATGAGTTCTCAGTAGATCTGAAGGTTTAAAAGTGTGTAGCATTTCCCAGTTTGGTCTCTCTCTCCTGCTGCCTTATGAAGATGGTACTTGCTTCCCCTTTTATCATGATTGTATGTTTCTTGAGGCCTCCCAATCACACTTCCTGTTAAGTCTGCAGAGATGTCAGTCAAGTAAATCTCTTTTCTTCATAAATTATCCAATCTCAGGCAGTTCTCTATAGCAGCGTAAACACGGACTAATGCACTAGGTACCATTTTCTTTTGTTTCTTCATGTTGTCTCTATATTTATGGGTAAAAAATATCATTTGATGTTCTGGTCTCTCCAGTTTAAAATTTTCCTCAGGTTTTAAATGTATTATTTCCTATACTCCATCACTTAATGCACAAACAAAATTAAAGAAATAACACACTAGCTGCTTCCACTTATCAAATTTGATACATTTGAGGTTAATTTGGGGACAAGGGTAATAAGAATTTTAGTTTTGTTTTCTAAGTTTTTCAAAGGCACACATATATGCTATCAAAAAATTAAGATTTTTAGACAGGAAAAATACATACATAATTCCTCATTGTCTCCTCTGGCCTAACCCTATCTGCTTTAAGTTAAACAGGCCTCCCCTAGCACCTGAAATACTAGATTAATTGAGCTTACTTGGGAAAACATCTGCCTTGTATGAGCTAACACATTCTGCTCTTTTTCACCACCTACCCTCACTATATTCTCAAGCCCACTCCTGCCAATAACATGGGTATGAATGAATTTATTTCCCCAGTGAGGCCATGAGAGTCTGGTAATGAATCATTTCCCTGAGACTAGATGAGAGAAACAAAAACTTCTCATGTATCTTCTAAGAATATATAGCCTTAGTAGAGGCCAGAATGCCTTAGTGTATTGCTGGGATTATTTCTTGATGACTCTTTGAGCCAATGTAACCATTCCAAAGCCCTGGGGACTCTTAATTGGAGCTCCCTGAGTACACTTAGAACATTCATGTTAGTAAGATGAATCTGTCCATAGGCTGGTAACAGGGGTACATATTTCAGTAGAAAGAGGAATTTCCCACTCACCTGTGATGGCATCATACTAGTTCAGCCACCAACTGAATTCCTCTGGGTTTTCACTCACACCATCCAAGCACTAAGACAAATCTGAGCAAGAAGAAACCATGACACTCCAGTTTTGCTTCCAACATCTGTCCCAAAGCCAGGAGCCCCAGTCCAACCAACAAGGACATGCAGTGGGTAGGGGGTGGGTTCGGTTGTTGTCTCTCCTCTTCCAGGGTCAGAAGGAAGAGAATGACTCTTCTTGCTAAGAAAGATAAAAACACCTTGATTTTAGAGCTAGATCTATGAAAATCATTGAGTTTCATATGCTACCTAGCCCATGGAATTCTGAAATGTCCAATTCCCTCTGATTCCAAATCCTAAGAATCCCTGAATCATGTAGATTGTGGTTGCCACCTACAGATAAATACTGGAATTTCTCAGATTTACTTATTCTTGGTTTGTGTGCTTGCAGGCTTTCTCCACATGCATCTCAGCCCTCAGGAGCCTTCCTCCATTCCTTCTCCCTTCCACTGGTCCTCTGGATACACTTGTTCTGAATTATTCTCTCTTCCATGTGAGGTTTCTGGAAATACTACTCTCTCAAGTCTGACCTTCACATGAATTCATGCTGAACTTATCTACCAAGCAGCTTTAAATCTCATTTACAATGGTGGATACCTTAAAACACACACTTTACAAAGTGACATACCTTATAAGAAATGCTAAAGGGAGTTCTTCAAGTTGAATGAAAGGACATTAACAACATGAACACATGAACATATATGTGACATTGTTATTCATAAGAAATACATAGTTTGGTTTTCATCCCGTTTCTGGCATACAGCCCCCTCAAAACCTTTGCAATTTCCTAAGCAATAGAGTTGCTAGAAGTTTTTGTTCTAGTTGGTCTTTGACTTTGGTTCCCAACACAGAGATTGTAAGGTCTTGGAATTTCATGGGTGATAGGAGTGTCTTTTGTTCTAATGAGACAATTATTGGGCTCTAACATGGGGGGCAATCACCTGAAAGATCAAGACATGACTAGAAGCCTGGAACATACAGTCCCACCCCCTATCCTCTGTGAAAGGAACAGAGGCTGGAGATTGAGTTGGTAACAATTATGCATACTAGATGAACACTTCATAAGAATCCCTGAATGATGGAATTCAAAGAGGTTCCTGGTAGGTGAAGAACACATTCACATGCGGAAAGAATGGCACATCCCAACTCCATGGAGGCAGAATTTCTAAACCTAGGACCCTTCTAAATCTTGCTGTATGTAACTCTTCAGCTGGCTGTTCATTGTAATCTTTAAAATGCCCTTTGCAATAACCAGCAATACTAAGTAAACTTTTTCCCTTGGTTCTGTGAGCTGCTAAACTCTAGCAAATCTAACATAAGAAGGAGTTCTTGCTGGGTGTGGTGGTTCAAGCCTGTAATCCCAACACTTTGGGAGGCTGAGGCAGAAGAATCGCCTGTGGTGAGGAGTTCAAAACCAGGCTGGCCAACACAGTGAACCCCCGTCTGTACTAAAACTACAGAAATTAGCTGGGCGTGGTGGCAGGTGCCTGTAATCCCAGCTAATCAGGAGGCTGTGGCACAAGAATTGCTTGAACCAGGGAGGAGGAGGTTACAGTGAGCCAAGATCGCACCAGTACACTCCAGCCTGGGTGACAGAGCAAGACTCTGCAAGAGCAAGTCTCTAGAGAAAAAAAAAAAAGAAAAAGAAAAGAAACACACACACACACCCACACACACACACACAAACAGAAGTTCTTAGGAACCTCAAATTTTTAGCAAAGTCAGACAGAGGTTCTTCACTTTTTAAAACATTAATTTTTTGTTTCTTCCAATTGCATAATTTCAAATTATCTGTCTTTGAGTTCACTGGTTCTTTCTTTTGCTTGATAAACTCTGCTCTTGAGGCCCTGTATTGATTCAGTTCAGTTACTATATTCTTCAGCCCTAGAATCTATATTGCAATGGTGCAATATCAGCTCTCTGCAACCTCCGCCTCCTGGGTTCAAGCAATTCTCCTGCCTCAGCCTCCTGAGTAGCTGGGATTACAGGTGCCCACCACCAAGCCTGGCTAATTTTTTTTTTTTTTTTTTTTTTTGTATTTTTGTAGAGATGGGGTTTCACCATGTTGGCCAGGCTGGTCTTGAACTTCTGGCCTCAAGTGGTCGACCCAACTTGGCCTCCCAAAGTGCTAGGATTATAAGTGTGAGCCATCACACCTGGCCAGATACTTCCATTTCTTTATGGTCAATTATTGTAGATTAATTTTGTTCCTTCAGTAAGGTCACATCTTGATTTTTCAAGGTTGTATAACACCTCCTAGTCTAACAGAGCTGGGCCAGTTGCAGTAAGATGCCCTCTGCTTTTCCTTAGAGATTTGCTCTGATAGCCTAGTATACTAAATGCATACTTCGTTAGTGTCCTTTCCTCCACTAGCTTACATATTCTCCTGGGGGATAAGTCTAAGGGGTCTGTTCCTTTTACCAGTCTCACAGAACCATGGGGGCCACCATAAATCTTCATGTAAGCCTCCTCAAAATTCTCTACTTTGGCTCAAAGTATAGGCGTCACACTGCAGAAAACGGAGGTATAAGAACATCCAAGGCCCCTGTGAGCTTCTAAATATCCACAGGCATCAGGAAACAGGTGTGCTAGACTGGAAGGCATGCAAAGCATGATCCATCCTCATGGGCAATCTCAGGATTCTCTAAGTCCTCCAAGAAGCCCAGAAATGGCTTATGTGGGCCTGGGTCACCCCTGCCACCAGGGAGTAGTACTAAGGATGAGATCCACCAAGGGCCGCAGCTGAGTTATGTCAAATGAGATGTCTAGACCTCAAGGAGCCTAGAACAGATGGCAGAAGCTCAGCCAGGCTCTGGGTATTAAAATAGTGCTAGGGGCTTAAGGTATGTTTTTGGTGGATCTGCTACATGTAGATCTTGGATCTGGAGTCCAGCCTATGATCCCAGCAAAAATTAAACACCAAATATGATATTCACAAAAGTGTAATATGTAAGTAGAACATCTAAATTCAAAGGGAAATTGCTAATTCCACAAACATGATAGTGGAATTTAATAACAAGAGTACTTATACATAAATAGTAAATATAAACTGTACATTTGAGTTCTAAAGACTTTTTTTTTTCTGCCTCAGTACAGTAGTGGGTATATATCACCAATAAAATCAAAGGAGTATTTCAGTTACATTCATGATATTAATAAGTATGAAAAATGAAAGTAGGCAAAACCATGGAATTAAGGCTATAGGTGTTATCTTCAAGAAATGTAAAACTTAAAAACACTCATAAATCAAGAGAAAGAAAAAGAAAACAGGAGTTATTGGACTTTCCAAATTGTTACAAATTCAGTAGATATTAATAAATGTTTAAAAGATCAAGGAATTAAATACTAAAAGAATGTAATGAATGAACAGATTTGTCAGAAATCAATATTTGAAAAGTTTTGAGAGCAAAATCATGAAACTGAAAAGACCCATGGGGGAAAGAAAAAAACACTGGTAAGTAAAAGAGACTGTATTTATTTAAAAGCAGTAATTTAAAATGTAAGAAATGGGAAGAATTATATTCTCACATAAATATATAAACTAATTTTCAAGAAAACAGTAAAATCTTTCAGTCACAAATAAGCAGAAAAATCTAATCAGCCAATTTTATTATTTAAAGTATGTATCAGAGTTTAACTGTGTGATTTGTGAGAGTTTTTACGTGTCAAATCACTTATGGTTCCTTTGTATTGTAAATTCTTTTGAAGGTAAAAAGAAAGCCTGTCCTCATAAGTTTATTATCCTAATCAAAATGAAGATAAATGCAAAAATAACTAGAAATTTAACCAACAATCTTCATTAATTACACTTGCAAAAATCATTGTTACAATTTTAGCCATTTAGCTATTTATTTTGGTCACCTGGCCCTCACTGGTTTGGTTAAATAATGACAGAGCATTGTAAAGTGAAGTTTATTGCAATCATAAAAGATGATTCCATACTAGAAAACCTAATATTTCCATATAGAAATTTTAAAGATTCAAAAAAAAAATCACATGAATAGACCCTTGAAAAAACAGTCAGTAATCTAAATCTTTAAAAATAATTTGAAATCTTTAAAAATCATATCAAATTGGGGGAAATAATTCCTCTTAATCAAGAAAATTTCAACAAATACATTAGGCAGTTAACAAAAGAACCATTTCCACTAAAGGTCGGGCTGGAAAAAGGAGGTTGGCTGGCGCTGATGCCATTTGCCACTGCACTGGATGCCTGAGGTGGGACCAAAACAAGAGGGAAAGGAGAGGGACTATGAAAATGGACTCGAAGAGCTGCAACTGTAGTTATTCTCAGATAATGTGACTGGAAATTTGAAAAAGTAGACTGCACTTTAATTATCAATATTAATAAGAACATTAATAAGTGGGCAAATTTATTCTGAATATATTGAAATCAGTATCTCCTGTTTAGTAACATTAATCCTTAAATGAAGCAAACATACAAATTCATTATCTATTTACAACAGCAAAATATTATAAGTACCATTTGAAATAAATTTGTGGAGCCACGTAAAGAAATTTTAAAATTTACTGAGGACATAAAAATGACATGAATAAAGCCCAAAATCTTATTATTAGATTGGAGGATATAGTGACATAAAACCCCAGTGAATGCAGACTCAGGGCAACCTAGACTTAAAAGTCACATGTGGTTTTCCACATGAAAAAAATTACAATTAGTCTAAAAGTCATTTTGTCTAAATTTTGATTTTTGTTTAGGATACTGTTATAATTGTGAAAAAAAAAGTGAACCTATGTTATTTGGAAATTTAAAATAAGTCATACAAATATTTATACAATATTAATATCATAAGCAGACTGAATAAAACATTATTTTATCATATAAAATAGCTCATGTCTTCATGAGGAAAATATAAAATAAAAGGGCATGAAGGAAGGATTCTGGTTTTACTGCAGAAACATTATAAGACACCAAAGTGAGAGAGAGTGAGTGAGTGCGAGAGAGAGAGAGAGAGAGAGAGAGTGTGTGTACACAGAATGTAAAATAGCATCTACTATACATCAAAAATGAGTCATGTAAAAAATTCATTTTACATATATGTCTACAATAAAATTTATTCAGCCTCACAATTACTTTGTGAATTGGAAATGAGTTGTTGTTTTATCCAAATCCACAAAAAACATACATAAAGTATCAAGCTCTGGTTAAAGTAGTAGATGAACTTTATGTGCTAGTGGTAGATAAGAGTATTTATACAGTTTGTGGGCTGCATCTTGCTAGAATATAATACAATACAAAATGCACCATTTATATGCCCTGCGATCAAACCACCAACTTACCCAAGGTGGAGGAACCCTCAGACATTTGCAGAGAAGTCAGTGTGCTAGAAAGCATTCTTTGCAAATCTGTGAACATCAAGGTCTCCTTGGAACAGACGTGTTGTTAACAATTTCCAAAACTCCCTACTGTTGGACACTTAGGTTGATTCCATTTTTAAGAAACAATTACTGAATAAAACACACTCCATCGTGTATGAAATGCCACCTGAATTTGTCATAGCTATCATTTTCTAAACTCTCCCTTATAATCCAAATTATCAATATTTTGAGGCCAGATCCAGACTGATTCATTGTTTAAAGCTTCCAATGCATTATACAAACAGGCAGAACAAGTTTCCTCTTATCAATCTTCTTTTCCAGGATTTGTCAGATATTCCTGATATTAATTCACTACTAATATGCAGAGTTTCTCTAATCATAGTTCACAAAGATCTGATAGTGCATCATTCCTAAACGATCCATACTGGCCTCACTGACACAATGGGCCTGCTTCCCATCTGGAATCTATGTCTGGGTGTGAAGCCCTTCCCATATGATCCCCCAAATGTAACTTCACAAGTTCGAATTCACTGGGTTACAGTGTGATAGTTAGTGTGAAGATTGGAGGGGGTTAAGGGAAGGCTATGGGTGAGTTAGGAAATGTGTTAGGCAGGGTCTGGGATTAGCACATCCTAAAAACAGCATTTAAGGAGGGAGATGACAGAACAATCAATGAATAACATGACTTTTTCCAGTGAAAGTGCCATTTCTTTTTTTTTTCTTTCTTTCTTTTTTTTTTTTTTTTGAGGCGGGGTTTCGCTCTTGTTACCCAGGCTGGAGTGCAATGGCGCGATCTCGGCTCACCGCAACCTCCGCCTCCTGGGTTCAGGCAATTCTCCTGCCTCAGCCTCCTGAGTAGCTGGGATTATAGGCACGCGCCACCATGCCCAGCTAATTTTTTTTTGTATTTTTAGTAGAGACGGGGTTTCACCATGTTGACCAGGTTGGTCTTGATCTCTCGACCTTGTGATCCACCCGCCTCGGCCTCCCAAAGTGCTGGGATTACAGGCTTGAGCCACTGCGCCCGGCCTGAAAGTGCCATTTCTAATCTCTGATTAGAAATGTGCCATTCTAATGTGCCATTAGAATGATTAGAATGTGCCATTCACATTTCTAAAAAAGTGCCATTTTTCTTCTCTGAGCTTCTTTGTTAGGTAAGATCCGTCTTGAGAAGTCACTGGTGATTATTAGGAACATGCCCTTCAGGACTTCCAATCAACATACCCTCTTCTTTTCCGACAACCACATATATGGGGGCAGAAGTCAACATGTTAAAAAGACAATTTTCTGCTTTTCACTGAACCTCCAGGAATTCAGGACAATAAACTTCTACACGGAGACCAACCGGTGAGTTCTTCTGACCCTTCCTTCACAACACCCTTCTTCCCTAGTGAAGTTCACAAACACCCTTATATGGCAGCTGTGGGTACACAAACTGGTTCGACCCCTTTTGGTCATAGAGCCTGAAGTCTTTGTTAGTACCTGCCGAGCACAGTGTCATGGGTGAGAACAGGCAAAGCTTTTTCTTTCTCTGGTTCCTGAGCTTCCCAGGCTTTCTCTCATTTCTGGATCTTGAATACCCAAATCCCACTGCCCTTTCTCCTTCAAGCTTCCTTCCCAAAACCAACACCTCCTCCTCATTAGAAAGATACCTATGTTCTGTGCTTACTTTAAAAAGTCTTGTCGTGGGGCAAGTGGAAAGGTAAACGGAAGCCAGGAGAGAGTAAACAGCATCAGCCTCACAGGAATGACATGATTTGGATGCGATAGTGGGAGTTTTCTCTTATCATCCCTCCCCTCCTAATGATTTCAGATCATATTTCACATTCTTAAGTAAGAGCAATTTGTCTTTCACGGTTTTAATCATATTGATTAAAAGTATTTGCCTTTTCCAGAACATCACATTAAGTCATCCAAAAACATAAAAATTGAAAATATCTAATTGTTGGAAGAGAAAAATATAAAAACGTCAGTTTTGGAAATACCTTTGAGCAATGTATTCATTATGAGCAGATGGAATCTGTTGGAACAAAGTTCTAGGACAATCTAGCCCAACCTGCAATATTTGCAGAAAATGGCACAAAGAAAACTTGATACTTATACTTAGTTGGGAACTTTATCCCACAGCCATTAAATACAAAGATCATACAAAGGAAGAGAGGAAGCTGTTGAATATTAAACTCACATCATCAATATCGTTACGAAGTGCACACTGAATTAGTGTAAAAGTATTTATTAAACAACAAAAAGTATTTTCGTTATATAATTAAGACTGAAAAGTATAGAGGTCTCTTAATCTGAACCTGACAATAAATTTAAAAGGGAAAGTAATTTGGAAATCAGAAAACCATCTAAGGAATCTGGGAATTAGGCTTCTGCTGCCCCCCCTGCTAGTGATGGTCAAGGCCTTCTCATTGTTTCCTGCCCTCCTTCACGTCTCTGCTGATTGATCCCCGTCTTGTCTACTTCTATTTACCTCGCGACTTCTCTCTCGGGTCACTCTCCTTCATTCTCAGTTTGTCTAAATTCTTCAGACCCATCCACTTCCCGTCTTCTAAACTTCCGTCCCCCTTTCGTCCTCGCTGGCCCCACCTCTCTCTTCTCTGTTTTCTCCTCACCCCCCTGCCCATCTCGACACCCTCAGCGATGCAAAGAAGCCCATGCCAAGGAACAGGCCACTTCTGAGTGGGACATCGGAAAGGTACACACCGGACAGTCACTGCCAGTGGGAGGTGACCGTGCAGAAGGGCACGGGGTGTTACAGGGTTGGGCAGGTCCCCTGGCCCAGCCCCGGACCGAGGGTCCTGCCTGAGGCGGTGACTCCAAAGCCAGGGGTCTGCGGAGACGGAGGGCCGGGCCGAGGGCAGGATGGGAGTTACCTCAGGGAGGATCGGCGTCTGCCCAATCCCAGGCCCGCCCTGAGGGGCCGAGCGGGGCGAGTCTGGGGACGATGGGAGGCAAGCCACGTGCCGAATGGGGACCTGACGCCGCGCGGACAGGATGGGCCGACGGTGAAGAGAACTGGGGTGGAAGGGCCGGGCGGGGGCGACCTCAGTGACGGAACCGGACAAGGGCGCAGATCTCGCAGCTGAGCGACAGGCTGCGGAGCATCTCAGGGCGCGCGGGCCTCCCCGCCGACGGGACGGCGGTTGCCGAGCCTGTGACGTCCGCGGATACCCGCGGACCCCGAGTGCGGAGGACGGCGCGGGAAGGGGGCTGCACAGCACGGTTTGGCCACCAGCCCCGGAGCGCACTCACCCGAGCGGGCCTGGGCTCCGGAGAAACGCTTTCCGGGTCAACAGAAAAAAACCTCGCGCGCGGGGCGGGGCCCGTACGCGCAGCGGGGCGGAAACAAGGAGGCGGGGCCGGGCGGGGGCGGGGCCTCGGGCAGGGGCGGGGCGCATCCTGAGCTTCCGCCTCGCCGCGCGCTGTCGGCCCTCGGTGTCTGCCCGCTCGGCCGAGAGCGCCTGTGTGCGTCCGCTTTCGTTTGCCTGCCTTCGGTGCACCCTGGGGCCGCGCTGCTTCCAGCCGACATCCTGTTAGGTAAGAGTCAGGCTCGTGAGGCTGTTGCACCGGGGGCGGAGCTGCTCCACTGTCGGCGGGCGGCGGGGACACGAGTCCGTAGGTGCGGGCGGGAGCCGGAGTAGGGTGGGGACGCTCGCGAGCCCGCACTCCGCCTTTGGGACGCGACGGTGTGAGGCGCGCTCGGGCTCCGCGTTAGCCCCTAGGCGGAGGCGCAGCCGGGGTGGAGCCCAGGGCGGAAGGGGTCGGGACCGGGCGGGGCCCTGCCCGGGACACCTCGCGGGTGGGCTGCTCCGCCGGCTTTTGTTCCTGCGTTGAACCTGTCCAGCTCCGCACCTGAGATGGTTTATAAATTTGGCACCTTTGGGACAGGCGTGGATGGCATCCCGTAATTTGCTTATGTTATTAATTTCAAAATGTAATAAGCACTATCTGAAAGTTTTTTCATTTGAAAGATATCTTCATATATATGTACATACATATATATATTTATTTCTGAATCTTGTTTCCAGTACACATAATGGGACTTGTAAAGTGGACACTGTTAAGGAGATAGGTGGATTTTGCTTTTAAATAATAAAGACTTAATTGGTGACTATTACTGGGATCGTTGATAAAGATGTCCATTAAAAACAGTAAAATTGGGCCGGGCGCCCTGGCTCATGCCCGTAATCTCAGCGCTTTGGGAGGCCTAGGCGGGTGGATCACGAGGTCGGGAGATCGAGACCATCCTGGTCAACATGGTGAAACCCCGTCTCTACTAAAAACACAAAAAATTAGCTGGGCATGGTGGCGCGTGCCTGTAATCCCAGCTACTCAGGAGGCTGAGGCAGGAGAATTGCCTGAACCCAGGAGGCGGAGGTTGCGGTGAGCTGAGATCGCGCCATTGCACTCCAGCCTGGGTAACGAGAGTGAAACTCCGTCTCAAAAAAAAAAAGAAAACAGTAAAATTGGATTTCTGGATTTCATTGGCATCATTTATATCTTAATTTAAATGTGAAATATGTAAGTTAAAAGCTCATATTTTTATTTCCTTTGGATATTCTGAGGTTTGTGTTGCCAATGATTATTTCCAAAAAAATGCACACTCAAAGTGCATTTTTCCCAAAAGTAATGCTAGTTTCTCAATCTTTTGATATTAATGTTTGACCTATAATAATGTGAAATTTCCCCAAAAGTAATGCTAGTTTCTCAATCTTTTGATATTAATGTTTGACCTATAATAATGTGAAGTTTTTGAACAAAACTTTCTCTTAGCCAGTGGAACATAAACTGCCCTGGAGTTCATTTAGAGGCAGGGCACACTCTGTGCCCTGCTCCTCCATTTCTCCAGGGCAGAATTGACTCTCTCTGAGCTCAACTCATTCCTTTTAGACCTGCTACAAACTAGACGGTAATGAGCTGAAACGCCACATCACTTGGAGTCAAGTGCTCTTCACATATGGGCTCCCCATTTATTTTTACCTCACCACCCTCTCTTTATCTTGGAGTACAGTGATAGAAATCTGCCTGTGTAACCACCTGGGTTAACTCTTGTATGTGTAGACTTATATGTAATATGTGGCTTGGGGAGTGTCCAGATCAATTGAAGTGATAAATGATTCCTCTTGGGTGGGACCACATCACTGAATGCAAAGTGGTTCTTCTGCCTCTGCCTCCTGAGTAGCTGGGATTACAGGTTTGCACCACCATGTCCAGCTCATTTTTGTATTTTTAGTAAGAGATGGCCAGTCTGGTCTTGCAGGTGATCTGCCCACCTCAGCCTCCCAAATTGCTGGGATTACAGGCATGAGCCACTGCATCCAGTCTGGAATGCAAATCTTTTTAGGAGAAGTAGAGCTCATAAGAAGTAGATGGCTGTAAACCAACTTTGTCCACCCATATGCTTGAGTCTCTGTTTCCATGGCTGGGAATTAGGTTTGATGAAAGCTGAGAATTGACAAGAAGTGACAGTACATTGACTTATAATTTCTTCAATTTATGTGTTCATCCTCTGTGTTACAGGAAAATAGTTTCTAGGTACTCCATTGGAAAAACCGCTTCAGTAAAGAACTCTAGTGCCTATTTGAGGAGAAGATTGAGCCCTATGTAAGTAGTGTTTATTTTAATGGTCATCATTTCTGAACCACTCTCTGATCTAAATAATTGTCATGTGGACATTATTTCACCATAGGCACTGAGAATAGATAACTATACACATACCAGAATACTAGAACTTTAAATCACTCTCCCAAAATAAAACCTAGAGTCACTCTCTGTCCTCTGTGAACCCAGGCACACTATTTGTTTCTGTCATCTAGTTGAATTTCTTTATGGGGACTTTTGACTTGCTTTTTGCAGTTAGAAGTCCAGCAGAAAGCAAAGATGAATAGAAAATGCAACACAGGACTAGAATACATTGGGAATCCTTTGGATATAGCCAGGAAAATCATAGGGACTTGGTATTACCTTTCTGATTTATTTGAAATGAACATTATAGTATGTATACATTATGTTATATGCTAGAATGGTGGATTGAGTGGATTTCAGGTCTGATAAACGTTTCCGACAGCTAGCGTAATGATAAGATGAACCAGCACTAGGAGGCCAAATGTCTCCAACTAAGTTTGTGTTGAGGAAAATTCCTATAAGGGTTAGGGTTATGGGTTTAGAGTTAGGGTTAAGGGATAAGGTTAGGGCTTATGTTTAGGTATTAGGGTTAGTGTTAGGGTTAGGGCTAGGATTATGGTTAGGGTTAGGGTTACAGTTAAGGGTTAGGAGTAGGGTAGGGCTAGGTTGGGATCGGGGTTGGGGTTAGGAAGGAAATTCTGCAGTTCCTCTGCCCCACCCTGGCCTGGTCTCAGCATACTGGAGGTTGTCAGAGGACATATTTTACTTTCATTTTTTTTTTTATTTTTTGAGATGGAGTTTTCTTATTGTTTTCCAGGTGGAGTGCAATGGTGCTGTCTCGGCTCAGGGCAACCTCTGCCTCCTGGGTTCAAGCGATTCTCCTGCCTCAGCCTTCCAAGTAGCTAGAATTATGACAGACATGCGCCACCATGCCCAGGTAATTGTGTTTTTTTAGTAGTGACAGCCTTTTCTCTGTTGATCATGCAGGTATTAAACTCCTGACTCAGGTTATCCAACTGTCTGGGCCTCTCACAGTGCTGGGATTACAAGGTGAGCCACTGTGCCCTGCTTTATTTTTAATAAAGTTGACATTATCCATTTTTTTCTTTCATCATTTGACTTTTGCTGTTGTAACTAAAAACTCATCTTCAAATAGAAGGTCATGTTCATTTTCTTCTAAAATTTTTACAGGTGTGGATTTTAAATGTAAGTCTATGAATTATTTTGAATACATTTTTGTATAAGTTATAGGGTTTATGTTTTGTTCATTTTTTCCTATATGGTTTCCATTGTTCTATCAGCAGTGGTGAAACAGACAGCGTTTTCTTCATTAAATGTCTGTTGTCCCTTTGCCAAAATCAATTCACTGTGTTTTCCTGGGTCTGTTTTGGGCTCATTTTCATCGATCTGTTAGTCTGTTTCTTCACCAGCATCACATTTTCTTTACTGCTTTAGCTTTCCAATGTGTTGGGGTCCAGATGTGTGAGTTCTTTGTTTGTACGTCTTTGATGTTGCCTATTCTAGGTTAAAAACAAGGCTTGGTGCAGTGGTTCTCGCCTGTAATCTCAGTGCTTTTGGAGGCCAAAGCAGGAGGATCACTTGGGACCAAGAGTTCAAAACCAGCCTGGGGAAAAATAAGTTTCTCATGTCTGAAAATATTTTTTAAAAGTTAGCTGGGAGTAATGGCATGTGCCTGTAGTCCTAGCTGTTTGAGAGGCTGAGGTGGGAGGATTGCTTGAACCCAGAAGTTTCAAGCTTTAGTGAGCTGTTATTACAGTGCTGCAATCCAGTGTGGGTGACAGGGCAAGACCCTGTCTCTAAAACAAACAAACAAAAAAAAAAAATGAAACACAATTTTCTGAGAATTTAGACTGTGCTGAATCTATGTGGTGGTTGAAAGAATTTTCATCTTAAAAATACTGACTTACAATCCTGAATAAGGAACATCTTTGCATTTATTTACATATTGTTTGATTTCTTTCAACTGTTTTTCTAAGTTTGATGAATGCATATTTATACCTTTGTTTTAAATATTTATACTTAAAGAGCTTCAGTTCTGAGGGGTGCTATTGTAAATGGTATTGCTTTTTTAAAATGGCACACTCCAGTTTTCCAACTTTTTCATACATAGCTGCTGATACATAGGATGTCATTTGGCTTTTGTCAGTTTGCCATGTACTTTACTTCTTACCTCCATCCCTCTGGTGGGGATGGTGGGTTCCCTTTTAGCTGTTTTTTCAAAATTCGTGGCATGGAATTGTCAGAGCAGTGGACTTCAAAAATTGGTGGGAGGGGCGCAGACCACCTAAGCATCTTGCACCTCCAGGGACGGCTGACGGGGACACGAATGCGGCCTTCTGGACCCTCGAGAGGCGTGTGCGTTCTGGTGCAGATGCCGTGGGCCTCCAGGGGCAGAGCCAAGCCTTTTCCTCAGGTGCCTGCAGGGACACCTGGAGAGGACCGAGTCTTCTCCTCCTCAGGACCCACTTGGGAGACCCCAGTGTCTTTACAGGGACCCCTGGTATTCCCCAGCCTCCTTCTCAGGACCCACCCAACAGGACTGCAGTCCCGACAGGGACACCTGGAGAGGTCCTAGCCTCCTTCTCCTTAGAACCCACCCAGGAGATGCAGCTGTCGCTACAGGGACACCTGGGGACCGTGGCCAGGGAGGACCCAGCTTCCTCCTCCTCAGCACCGGCACAGGAGACACCGTTGTCCCTACAGGGACACCTGGGCACTGTGGCCAGGGAGGACCCGGCCTCCTCTTCCTGAGGACCCACACGGGAGATGCTGCTGTCCCTACAGGGATACTTGGGGACCGTGGTCAGGGGGGACCCAGGCTCCTCCTCCTCAGGACCGACTGGGGAAGCTGTTGCTTCAGGACCCCCAAGGCTGCCTGAGGAAAGGTGAGGAAAAAGCTTTTTCTCAGGGCTCTGAGTGCTGAGGTGGCCGTGTCGTCAGTTGTATTTTACAGGAGTGGCCTCATTGAGTGGCGCTGATACTCATTATTACAGCATATCTGACTTGTTTCCTTTTTTATTTTTATTTTTATTTTATTTATTTATTTTTTTTTTTTGAGACAGAGTTTCACTCTTGTTACCCAGGCTGGAGTGCAATGGCGCGATCTCGGCTCACCGCAACCTCCGCCTCCTGGGCTCAGGCAATTCTCCTGCCTCAGCCTCCTGAGTAGCTGGGATTACAGGCACGCGCCACCACGCCCAGCTAATTTTTTGTATTTTTAGTAGAGACGGGGTTTCACCATGTTGACCAGGATGGTCTCTATCTCTTGACCTCGTGATCCACCCGCCTCGGCCTCCCAAAGTGCTGGGATTACAGGCGTGAGCCGCCACGCCTGGCATTTTATTTTTATTTTTTTACCAATGTAGGTTTGTTTGGGGTAGATCCGGGAAAAAGAAGGGAGAAACCCTGAGAGCAGCACGGGGAGCCCTAGGGAGACATGCATCCCACTACTTGCTTTTTTTGTGTTCCAGTGGCTTGTTTTTCTTAGTGTCAAAGTACTTGAAAAATATTGAAGAACAGATAGATGTAAGTTTTTACATTATTTTAAGCCTAAATAGTGTACTTTGTCTGTTAAAAAGAATTTTAGGCAAAATAAATTTAAACAGTTTATTTGAGCAAAGGAACAATTCATGAATTATGCACGAAACACCAAAACAAATCAGAGCTTGGGGCTGCAAACTCTTAGTGGTGGCAGCTAAGTGAGGTTCCTCATTGGCTCCTGCTAGGCAACCACCTGTTGTGGGATTGGTTCCCTCAGCGTCCCTAGTCATACACCCAACTGGTGGCTGGGCTTTTTGTTATTGACTGGTTGGTTTGTTAATTTTTTTGAGTTGGTTTAAATGCCTCCAAGTTCGGTTTCCATTTGCTCAGGGAAAACCTCAGGCTAATGGCCTCCCTTTATTTGCTTTAACATGTCAAACCATAATTCATTTTCATTTTACTTTCCTGGCATTAATAGAAGTAAATTCACATTTTTGTTGTTATTCAGAAAGTTGGCTTAACTGGCAACCTATTTGTAATGTGCATAAAATAATGTCTTTTAATCATTGGCATCTTAGATTAGATGAAATGTGTTAACTCTATTAAGCTTTGTTATTAAACCATCACAGGAGTTGAGTTGCTTTTTTTTTCCTCCTAGGCTTTAAGCATTTAAAATATACTCAGGCGTCTCCTAACGATGTGCATACTTTCTGAGACATTTGTCCTTAGTGGTTTCATCTTTGTGCGAATACAACAGAGTGTCCTTATGAAACCTAGACCGTGTAGCCCACTCCACGCGTAAACTATGTGGTATGGCCTATTGCTCCCAAGCTACAAACCTGTATTTAGTCACATCTCTGTACTGAATGCTGTAGTCAACTATAACACCATAGGTGATTGTTGATTCTGATCCCAAAATACCTGAGACAGGTCGCAGTCAATTTAGAAAACTTATTTTGCCAAGGTTTAACCCATGATACATCCTTAGGAGGTCCTGATGACATGTGCCCAAGGTGGTCAGGAAAGAGCTTGCTTTTATACATTTTAGGGAGACATGAGACATCGATCAATATGTGTAAGATGTGTAATCATTTGTTCCAGTAAGGCGGGATGACTGGAAGCAGGAAGTGAGGGTGCTTCCAGGTCAGAAGTAGGTAAGAGACAAAAGGTTGCATTTTTTTGAATCCTTGATCAGCCTTCCACTGAATACACAATGTCGTCTGGCTCAGAGAATCTGCATTTTTACATAAACAATAGTGCAGAGGAGTGGCACGATCTCAGCCAACAACAACCTCTGCCTCCTGGGTTCAAGCAACTCTCCTGCTTCAGTCTCTCTAGTAGCTGGGATTACATGCATTCACCACTATGCCGGGCCAGTTTTTGTACTTTTAGTAGAAATGGGGTTTCTCCATGTTGGTCAGGCTGGTCTCGAACTCCTGACCTCAGGTGATCTTCCCTCCTCTGCCTCCCGAAGTGCTGAGATTACAGGAATGAGCCACTGTGCTTGGCCAGGAAGCGCATTTTGATTCTGATATTGTCAACTGTATTTTAGGCATAACTTATTTTCCTCAGAGCATTAAGTACTGCTTTGGTATTTTATTACACAACTGAAGCACAGATCCCTTTTTATTATCTTCATTACTAGCTATACTGATACCTAAATTTATAAACACTCCAGAGTCTGGGCTTCCAGTCTTTTTGATCCTCTAAAAGGTAAATTATTTTTTCCAGCAAGACACAGTGACATCTAAAGTCACATTGCATGTCCTGCCAGTGTTGTTTCTCTGGTTTCATCCATTTCTGCAAAGCATCATTGGGGGAGTAACTCTTGACTGTCCCTTTAAACAGCTCTGGATTAAAAAGCATCATGATGAAACATTGAATGTGGTCACAAAATCTGTTTACAGTCTTCCTGTCTTTGAACATTTTTTCAAGTGACAAATATTTGCTTCTGTTGTATTGTAATTAGAAGGAATCCTCTGCTAGGAAACAAAGACAAGCATTCATTAGAATAAGTGATCCAGTCACAGTGAATCCAGTTGCTATTTGAATTTTTTTTTTTTAACCAAGTTATACTTTTGAAAATGTTCAGCTTTAAATTGAAATAGTCTCCTAGAGAGTGAACCACACCACAAGAAAAGATGTATGATAAATATGTTTACATGGATTTGTTATTTTAACATAAAACATGTAAAACAGGCATTTCCTTGAAATTATATATTAGTTTGTATAATTTACTTTGCAGCATCGTGAATGCTTTTATTTTAAAAATGAGTAGTATCAATTACTGCTAATTATTACTACAAATAATTAAGCAGGCATTTGAAAAAAAAAATACAACTTTTTAGTAAAGGGTTTATTTTCAATTAGTTTTAGATTCACAATGAAATCTAAAATGAGAAGAAAATGCAGATTTCCTGTCAAGACCCAACCTAGTTTCCCCTCATATTAACACATCAACATGTAACAGATATGTTATTAACATCTTTTTGTTTTGAGATGGAGTCTTGCTCTGTCACCTAGGTTGGAGTGCAATGGAACGATCTTGGCTGAATGTAACCTCAACCTCCGTTGTTTAAGTGATTCTCCTGTTTCAGCCTCTCAAGTAGCTGGGATTACAGGCACCCACCACCACACTTGGCTATTTTTTTGTATTTTTTTTTTTTTTTAATTTGTAGAGATGGGGTTTCACCGTGTTTGCCAGGCTGATCTGAAATTCCTGACCTCAGCTGATTTAACTGTCTGAGCCTACCAAAGTTCTGGAATGACAGGCAGGAGCCACCATGCCTAGCCTGTTACCTGTATATTTGCTTTGGCTGGATGTCTGTAGAGATATTTGCCCAGTTTTAAAATCACTTATGTATTTTGTGAATATCTTCTCACGTCTGTCTTGTTTTTGTTCTGTGAATATAGTTTTTCATAGTAGAATATTGAGCTTTATACAGTTTATGTCAGGCGTCCCCAAACTGCGGCCTGCGGGCCACATGTGGCCCCCTGAGGCCATTTATCCGGCCCCCCGCCGCACTTCAGGAAGGGGCACCTCTTTCATTGGTGGTCAGTGAGAGGAGTATAGTATGTGGCGGCCCTTCAACGGTCTGAGGGACAGTGAACTGGCCCCCTGTGTAAAAAGTTTGGGGACGCCTGGTCTATGTTATCATTATTTTCATGAATTGGCATTTGATGATGTGTGTTAAAACTCAATACCAAATGCAATGTCACGTAGATTTTCTTTTATATTTTTTATAGTTTTGCATTTCAAATTTATAGTCTCTGGACTATTTTGAGTAGGTTTTTGTTTTTTAATTTGTGTACAGATTCATTTCATTCTACATGGCTTCCAGAGTCTTCCATCACCATTTTGGGAAGGATATGGCTACAGTGCACTTCATTTTGGTGTGAATTTCCAAAATTATTACATTGAATAAACTGAATATTGAATTTTATAGGTATTTCAGGACAGCCAGGAGTGGGTGCACATCCGCTGAGAAACTGAGGAAAAGCATCTGTGCTGAGCTCTGGCGCCACCAGAGGGCGCGCGAACCCACCCCTGACCAACTTCCCTGTGAGGTGCCGGAAGCAGTGAGGAGCTTTGACTTCCTCGGGGCAGCAGGAGGGTCTTGTCAACTAAGTCTTGTTCATTGGTGAGTAAAAAGCTTCCTTTCCACAGCCCTGAGTGCAGAGAAGAGAGTCTTTAGAGTACTCGGCAAAGGAAGAAATTTCATCTAGAAAAATGAAATCCCCAAATCCCATCCTTACGACTACACCCTGAGGTCATTGTCAACGGTCCCAGACACAGTGGCTGCTAAGATGTCTTCTCACAGTGGCCTCTAACATAATAATCACACTGTGCCCTAACATTGCTATGATACTCATACCATGCCCTAACACCAGTATAATATCCACACTATACTCTAATGCTAATCTGATAACCACACTGTTGCTTGTAATACTAATGTAATACTATCCGCACCGTGCCCTAATGCTAATGTGATACCTGCAGTGTTCCGCAACACGAACATAATATGCACACTCTACCTAACACTGATATCCACACCGTGCCATAACACTAATATACCCACACAGTAGCCTGTAATACCAATATGAAATCTAAGTGGAGTCGGTTGACATTGAGGCTTTTATAAGGGTTCACAGTTTCGGATGAAGCGTAGCCTCTATAGTAGATTTTGCTGATGTCTCTGCTTTTCTGGCATAATATTGGTATGGTTGTTTTAAAATGTAATTTACTTTTTAATAGTGTCATACTTCTAGGAAATTTCCAGTAGCAGTGCAAAATATAACCTGTTTTTCCCCTTAGATCCCCTAGCAGTTACTGCTATATCGGATTTGCAATGTCCAGAAGATACTCTGGTATATTTTACCCAAAGCACGGTCACTTTCCCAGGTTAACACCACATAACCCCTAGATCAGGAAATCAGCACGGTTCCTACACGATGATTCAGTTCACAAACTCATTTCACTTTAACCTCCTGCTCCACCTGGGAGTATAATGTGTTTTTTCATTCTGATAGTTTTCCTGGCACTGTTCCCAACACTTTCCTGCATTTTTATGATCTTGACACATTTAAAGAGCATACAAGTTTTTGTTTGAACACCTTTGTTTTTAGGTCTTTGGGATATATACCTAGGAATGGAATCATTGAGTCATACAAAAATCTATTTGTAATTGTTTGAAGAAACGCCAAATTATTTTTCACATATGCTGCACCATTTCATATTGTCACAAGCAGTATTTGATAGTTCAAGTTTCTGCACATCTTTGTCGACACTTTTTTTTTTTTAAGTGTAACTATTCTAGTGTGAGTTAAGGGGTATCTTTATGGTTTTAATTATTACTAATGATGTTAAGCATCTTGTTTCTTGGTGCAGTGTGCGTTAAAGTCCTTTGTAAATTTTTAGGTAGGGTTGTCTTTGTTGTTGAGTTACAACAGTTATGTATAGATTCTGCATAGCAGACACTTATGAAGTATCTAATGTGCAGATTTTTTTCTTCCATTTTGTGGGTTACTGGAAAATAACAAGAGTTCATGTGTGATTTCAGCTGTGGGGTACTGAGACAGAGCTCTAAGACTTTGGGATGTATGAAGTGATGTGTCTTTCGTGTGCTCATGAGGTGACTGATGTCTGGGGGCACCTGGACAGCCTCTGTCTTTCTGGCTGCCAAGGGCACCAACCTTGTTGTCAGAAGTTTTGAAATTTCATCTCCCCTCCCATCTCTGTGAAGGGGAGAGGTGCTGATGGTTGAGTTGATCACCTATGGCCACTCATGTAAGCAGTTTGCCTACGTGATAAAGGACCAGGTTGGGAGAGTGCGAGCGTCTGTGTTGCTGAACATGGGGAGATGCTGGGAGGATCATATCTGGAGAGGGCATGGGAGGCCTGCACCCCTTCCACATGCTTCACGTTGTGCATCTGTTTATTTGACTGTTCATTTGTAGCCTTTAAAATATCCTTGGCAATAAGTCAGCAATAGTAAGTACACTGTTTTCATGGGTTCTGTAATGTGCTGTAGTAAACTGCTGAACCCAAAAAGGGTGTTGTGGGAGCCTCCAATCTGTAGCCAAGCCAGACAGAAGATAGCCTGGGAGCTTACTGTTTGTGACTGTTACAACTGAGTACCTGTATTTTCTTAAGGAAGGAATGAATTACTTTTACCGTTTTCCTTTTTTTGCGCTTCCTACTTAGCTCTTTAGGAATGCAATTATAAGCTTTACTGTCTCTCCATGAGATACTTCCTACACTGCAAACTTTTCTGTGTGTTTACTTAGAAGTTCCAGGGACCAAACTTTACAAACTAGGCACCTCTGGAACTCTCTGCTATCAGGAGATTGCCAGGAGACTACAGACAATTTACAACCTAGCTCTGCCCATGGTGGTACTAGCAAGACCACCTAATGGATAAAACATCAGAGCAAGTCCCACAGACCCTGCACCTCCTCACCGCATCCCCTACATGCCATTCTGCCAAGTCCTTCTTTTAAAGCTCTCACTTTCTGCCCTGAAAGTGGAAGCGGTTTCCTTAAAGCAAGAGTCTGTATGTTCCCTTCAGCCTAGCTGTGGCATAAAGTCACTTTCTTTTTACCATCCTTGTCTTTGTCAATTGAATTTGCAAGCAACAAGGGACGTGACCTGTCTTCCTAGGACCGAGCCCTTAGCCTGTGGGGTCTGATGCTTTCTCCTATTAGTGTCAGAATTGGATTGCACTGTAGGACACCCAGCTGGTACTCAAGATTTGCTCTGTCTAGGGGGAAAAAAACCCATGCATCTGTTAACAGAAGTGTTCTGTGTTGAGTGTTGAGAGTCTACTAGTAGACAGTTGTTTTTCCTATTATAACAATTCTGTCTTTGAACTTTTTTCTTCATGTCTTCTGAGGCATTTAAGTTTTGAAATTTGAGGAAATCGATTTATTTTTTCTTCTGTGATTTGTAGTTTTTGGTGTCAAATTTAAGAAACTATAGCTATCTCCAAGGTCCTAAAGATTTAACTGTATGTTTTCTTCTAATGATTTTAGTTTTGCTGTATTTAGATCTTTGATCCATTTTAACTTTTTTATGTGATATGAGGTAAGGATACAATTTCATGTCCCTTTATGTGGATCACAAGTTGCTTTACATCACTTATTGAGGACAGCATTTTTTTCCACAATTTAATGGTTATGGACCTTGTCTCAAATCAGTTGAGCATGGAGGTATTTTTTTATGTCTGGACTCCCAATTCAGTTCAGTTGATCTTTCTGTTTATCCTTGTGCCAGTATCACGCTGTTTTGATTACAATTGCTTGTAGCAAGATTTGAAACTGGGATGTGCAAACCTCCAGATTTGGAGTTATTTTTCAGGATAGGTTTGGCTTTTCAGGGTTCCTTCAGATTCCATATGAACATTAGGATCAGCTTTTCTATTTCTGTCCCAAGACCTTTGGGATTTTTGTAGGAATAACATTGAATCTGTAGATTGCTTTGTGTAGTTTGGCAAACTTAACAAATATGGTCTTCAAATCCATGAACATGACATGTTTACTACATTTATTTGGGCTATGTTTAACTTTCCAAGCAATGTTTTCTATTTTCCCCCATCTAAGTCTTACCCGTTGATTACGTTTCTTCTTAAGTGTGTTATTGCTATTGGTGTTATTTAAAGTAGAATTTTTATGATTTTATTTTCAGATTATTCATTGCTAGTATATACATGTAAAATGGATGCTTTGGCCAGGTGCAGTGGCTCATGCCTGTAATTCCAGCATTTTGGGAGGCTGAGACAGGTAGATTACCTGAGGTCAGGAGCTCGAGACCAGTGTGGCCCACAAGACAAAAAGCTATCTCTACTGAAAATACAAAATTAGGTGGGCCACCATTGATTTACTTGGATAAAAAATCATGTTTATGGTGTTTGATGCTTTCAAAATGCTGTTGATTTAAATTTTCTATTATGTTGAAGATTCTTAAGTCTTCATTCCTGAGGTTACAAATCAGTCCTTGAAGTGGCGTGGCACTAAGTAGGTTAGATAAGGATGGGATTATGAATAGACTACGGTTAGTATTTACAGACTTAGTGTGTCAGTGTTTTACAGAATCAGGAGATAGGAGTTTAAGGGTTAAGGGTTTACCAATTGAAGATTATAGTATAAGGGCTGCAAGATAGGAGGTTCTGGTTGGTGGTTGGGAACTGCATAGTAGAGATTAGTGGGAGGGATCAGGTGAGTAACAGGGTTAGGTTGAGAGGTCAGGCTTATGGTGAAGGGTCAGGATGAAAGGATTAGTGAGGTAGGTTAGAGTAAGTTTAAAGTTGTCTGAAGACTATGTTGAGTGAATTTTTGCATAAGTTGTAACATGGGCATCCATGTTCATTACGTTTCCTATGGTTTCCAATTAATTGTCCCTTCTTCATTTTTAGAAACACGTGGGCTTGGAGGCTCTGTGTCAGTTTCCATTTCCAGAATGATGGCGCTGAACACTTCATCCTGACTTTACGTGGTGCAGCGGGACGGCCACCAGAGGGCGCGTGTCCGCTGCCAGTGTCTTGAGTGCGAGGGCCGCCAACAGAGGGCACGAGAGCCCAGTTTTTCTCATCCCGACCGAGGCCACAGCTTCCCACCCATTTCCTCCGTGTAGGCCCCTGTGAGGGCAGGAGGGGGGTTCTCCTCAGCACAGACCTGGGGACACCCCTCACTTTGGGACACCTTGAGCCCACATCCATGGTGAGTAAGATGTTTCCTTTTTGCCTCCCTGACTGCTGAGGGGCAGAGATCCTTCGTGTGGAAAATTGGAAACCAAAAACCCCAGTGAATCCAGCACAGCCGAGGCTTTCTCTGCACCCGAGGCCAGGCGGCCACAGGGCCATGCTGCAGGCTCTGAACAGAAATGCAGCATCAGGAGAGCAAATAGAACCCCCGCCACACTGATAATCGCCCCCTATAATGCCAATAACGTTCCATTTGTGGTACTGGTGTTAGCATCCGTTACACAGACGCCACATCTGTATGGGAAGGCGGCAGCTGCCAGGCAGGTCTGATCCCAGGCACGTGGAGGTATCTCTCAAAGTGCACAGAATGCCTGGAACACCTGTGAGTGTGTACATATCACCCAGAACGCCCGTGACACAAACACAGCACCCGTCACACTCATATAACCCCCAGAACATGCATGTGTCCCTTAGAGCACATGCATATCACCCAGAAAGCCCATGACAACATCAGACTCAGAGTGCACACATATCACCTGGAACACAGAAGTGACACCAACTACCCCAACACCCGTCACACTCATATAACCCCCAGAACACGCATGTGTCCCTCAGGGTACACATATCACCCAGAACGCCCATAGCACTGTCAGACTAACACAACAACCATCACATGCATATAACCCCCAGAACACTCATGTCCCTTAGAACACACGTATCACTTGGAATGCGAACATGGGCTTTGGAGCGTCTGCAGCACCAGGGATGGGACCCTCTGGCTCTCGCTGGGGTCACTGGTTTCATAGCCTGTGCCGGCCTGGGTTTGGGCTGGGTTTGGCCTCTGTTATGAAGTGTGATGTTGTTGTTTCTGCCTTTCTGACGTGCCTGACAGGGTTGTGTTAAATAGTAGTTGACTTGCCAGTAACATCATACTTCTGGGAAGCTAGCAGGTACAATTAGTATGCCTTATCTTTTCTCTCCGATTCCCTAGCAGTTATTGCTGTATCAGATTTGCAGCTTCAAACAAAATACCCCTATGTGTTTCACCAAAAGCAGAAACACTCCTCCAGGTGACCCCCACATAACCCCCAAATCAGGAAATACACTGTTTCTTTTTCTTTTCTTTTTCTTTTTTTGGAGACATAGTATTGCTCTGTTGCCAGGCTGAAGTGTAGTCATGTCATCTCAGCTCACTGCAGCCTCCATCTCCTGGGCTCAAGCAATTCTCCAGCTTCAGCCTCCCCAGTAGTGGGATTACAGGCATGTGCCACCTTGCCCGGCTACATTTTAGTATTTTTGGTAGAGACGGGGTTTCACCATGTTGGCCAGGATGGACTTGATCTCTTGACCTCGTGATCCTCCTGCCTCGGCCTCCCAAAGTGCTGGGATTACAGGCATGAGCCACTGTGCCTAGCCGAAAATACATGATTTCTATGCCACCAATGAATATGTGTAAGATGTACAGTCATTTGGTCCAGTAAAGTGGAACAACTAGAAGTAGGAAGTGGGGGTGCTTCTAGGTCAGAAGTAGATTATGAAAAAGATTGTATTATTTTGAATTCTTCATCAGCTTTCCACTGAATACAATTTAGTCTGGTTCAGTGAATCGGCATTTTTATGTATACAATAGGGCAGAGGAATGGCGGGATCTGGGCCCACCACAACCTTTGCCTCCCAGGGTCAAGTGATTGTCTTGCCTCAGCCTCCTGAGTAGCTGGGATTACAGGCATGCACCACCACACCTGGGTAAGTTTTGAATTTTTAGTAGAGACAGGGTTTCTCCATGTTTGTCAGGCTGGTCTTGAACTCCCCACCCCAGGTGATCCACCTTCCTTGGCATCCCAAAGTGCTGGGATTATAGGCATGAGCCACCATGCCGGGCCAGGAAGCTTATTTTGATTCTGACATTGTCAACTGTATTTCAGGCATAACTTGTTTTCCTTGGAGCATTAAATACTGCTTTGGTACTTTATTATAATACCAAATAAGGCACAGATCCCTTTTTTTCATATTCATTATAGATTGCGGTATATACAGAGTTAGTGTGTAAGGGTATTACACAATTAGGACATAGGGCTTTATAGGCTAAAAGTTTACCAGTTAAAGATTATGGTAGAAGGGCTCCAAGATAGTAGGGTCAGGTTGGTGGTTGAGAGTTCCATAGTAGAGATTAGAGGGAGAGATTAGGCTGACTAATCAGGTTAGGTTGACAGATCAGAATTACAGTGAAGGGTTAGGGTGAAAGTTTTAGTGAGATTTTGGATTGGGATTATATACAGGTTAGAGTAGGTTTAGCTTAACGTAAGGATTAGAGTGGGTAAAAGGTAACATAAGGGTTCATGATTGAGGGTTAAGCTTAGGTTAGATTTAGAGTTAAGGGTAATTGGAGTAAGGTTAAGTTTAGGGATTAGGATTAAGGGTTAGTGTTAAGGTTTATAGTTTAGGAATTAGGGTTAGGGTTTAGGGCACTGGTTAGGTTATGGATTAGGGTTTTAGGGTTAGGGTTGTTAGGGTTAGAAATAGGATTGGGGATTAAAGTTAGGATTAGAGTTGGGGGTAGGGTTGGTTGGTTTAGGGTTAGGTGTTAGGGTTTGGCTTAGGGTTTAGGGCTAGGGTTACTATGAGGGGTAGGGTTGTTAGGATTAGGGCTAGAGTTAGGGTTAGAGTTAGGCCTGCGGCAAGGCTTAGCATCAGGGCTAGGGCTATGTTTAAGTTTAGGGTTTAGGGGTTAGTGTTGGGGGTCAGGGTTAGGGCACTGTTAGGGTTGGGGTTTAGGGCAAGGTTAGGCTTAGGGTTTGTGGTTAGTCTTAAAGATAGGGGTTTTGGGTTAGGGCTAGGGTTAGGGTTAGTGACATGAGATCTGGAGTCAAAGGAGATTTATTTTGAACTTTATAATTTGACTGCCCTATTGGATTTCTGTCTTGAATGGGACCTGTAACCTCTTTGTTTCTCACATTTGGAGCACTTGTATTTTTCCATTGTCTGTATCCCCATTTTATCTGGGAAGTAACTAGCTTTCTTTTGGTTTTACAGCTTCGTAGGTGGAACAGACTTGCCTTTTCACAGATGAGACTATGGAGTTTTGAGTTAATCTTGAAATAAGACTTGTGGAACTGTTGGGAAGGCATGATTGGTTTTGAAATAGGAGGACATAAGGTTTGAGGGGTCAAAGTTAATCATAGGAATGTAGTTAAACATAAAAATTTTGCAAACCCGTTTTTATGATGAAACAAATACATTTTATCATCTTTGATGTATAATCTGTTTTATTGTTTTTTTAACCCAATGAAATGTGAGTTTTGTGATTTTGATCTTACTAAAGCAATGGTTTGATAAAGAAAAAATGAATAATTCAGGGTTACAGAGACGGTAAACTATTAAAAGTAGTTTGCGTATTAAATTATGAAATAATTGTGTGTTAATTCTAAATTCAACAGTTGTGATTGAACAGATCTGTAGGCATAGGTATGTATTGTGAAAGTGACAACCAAAGCAGTTATGTTGCACATTTATGTCTGGAGGTAATCAGTAGAGGAATTGGCTGTGGACCTTCACCCATGCATCACCTTTGTTTTGTGCTGTAGTCGAATATCAAAAACAAAACAAAACAAAATCACCACTTATTTCTCAAAGAGAGAATATTTCCTTCAACTTAAGCATTCCTAAATTGCTGCGTGGTGGCCTCTTTGTTCTTGGAGGAGGCAAAGGCAGAACAGACACTCAGGTGGGCAGACGATGTACTTGGCCCTCAGGACATCAGGTTCCTTGCCCCCCCCATCCACCACCGGTGCCCGAGTCACCTCTGCAGCCTGGATGTGGCATGGAAGCAGCAAGTGGCTGAACACCCCAAACTAGGCCCACATCCCCAGCAGCAGGAATCCTAAGGCTGGGCACTCAGGTGGCAAAGTCAGGCGGTCAGCCCCGCCAGCAGCCACTCAGTCTCATCAGTGTGGATGCAGAGTGCCCAGCGCAGAGGCCCAGGATCCAGAGAGGTGTCCAAGAGGAGCAGACCCAAGGGAAGCTCCGCCATTCGGCGCCAGTACCAGAGCTGCACCTGCAAATTGCGCATCTGGCATGGGCAGCGGTGGGAGCTGGTGGGGAAAAGAACAACCCCTGACTTTCCACGTGTCTCCTGCTCCCTGACACCTGCCAGGCAGACCCCGGGGCCAGAGTCAGCGCTGAAGCCAGGCCATCTGTGAAGCTGCTCCAGTGCCGCGGAGTGCCCATGCCAGACCTGATCTCCCTTTGAGGAGTGGGGCGGCCACAGGGTCAGACAGGCCTTCGCCCTCCTCCATTATATGAGATACATGTAAGGATTGTTCATGTTCCATCAGGAGCTCATGTTTGTGATATGAAATGCGCGCCTGCTATCCTGCGCCTCTGGCCCTCCGGCGGTCCGGGTGAGCCCAGGAGAACTTGTAGCTCAGTGAAGCCGGCCAGAGCTGCAGCCCCAGCGGCCTGCGAGTGCCTGGGAGTGGCTTCCGGGAGCCGGGCGGCCACCGTGGCCCAGGCGCAGGGCTCGCTCAGTCTGAGAGGTCGGAGACTGCAAGTGTTGCTGATAAAGGTTGTGGTGGACCTGGCTGGTTCGCGGATTCTCAGCTAGAAAGCAGACTTGAGATCGCAGATTGGGGGTCGGCGCCAGGTGGGGTTGGGAGGAGCCGCGGCTCAGGAGCTGGTTGTTGGGGATCTGAGAAGCAGTCACCACCTCGAAGAATTTCCTCGGCTTCGGGAGCCAGGGGCCAAGGAAGAGCAGAACCTCAGGTCCCGGGCTCCATAGACCCCGTCTGCACTGCTTCCGGGCACCCAATCCAGGGCGTGGAACCGCGAAAGGTCCACAGGGCGGCTGCCAGGGGCGATACCACTGAGGTGGAGCTGCCTGGTGCGCGGGAGCGGAGACCTGGACGCCCGGGACAGGCCACACCGGTAGCGGGGTTCAGCCCGGGGTGGGGGGGTTCCCTAGGCCCGGCTTCCGCACTTGGGACGGGGCCTTGGAGGGTACCCTGGGAGCGGCGGAGCCAAAGGAGCCTCAGCTGCTTTTCATCCCTCCTAATTCCCTGGCTGGAGCGCTTGATAGAGAATGTGAGTGATTTAACTCACAAAGTTAGGCATATTATACAGTGTTGTTATTTTTAACGTTCACGTTTAAAGCATGATTTATGCATTACAGGAGGTCCCTACTGAGAGAGCTCATTCTGCTATCAAAACTACCAGGAATCATTTTCAGCAGGCAAAAATTTCTCAGGTAAAACTGCCTGTTTTACATAGATGGGTTCTTTACTGAAGAGTCTCAGAGGGAAACTTGGAAGTGGGAGGTGGGTTTTGTGTTCTTGAATGAGAAGACACATTTTTCTCAAAATGTGAGCTCTTTCTGTGTTTATCAATTTTACATAAACTGAACGAAAATATCAAGGTTTTAACATTTTTGCACGACACCTGCTGTCTTACTATTGTGATGACATTTTAAATAATTTTATAATGGACTGAAAAATACTGGCTTCTCTACATATTAAAATGTGTTATTTCTATAATTAATTGTTTACTAACTGCTGAAAATACAGATAAATACATGTAACAGAATAGGAAATCCGGAAACACTGAAATGATATAAGATATAATGTAAGGATTAGTAATGTTAACAGATATGAATAGGAAAGGATGAATTATTAATGAAAAAATGCCTCCTCTTTGAAGAAAACTAATGAAAGTTTGTATCACAAGCATGAGTGCCTGGTGGAATACAGATTGAAACTTTCACATTTATAAGTGAGAAAAGTATCAGAAGAAAACACAAATGCTTGTTTTACAGGTATATTTTATGTTGACAAAGGCCTTCCTAAGAATGACCTCAGAGGCAAGTATTCTGAGGATTGATTTAGCAAACTAAAAATTAAAACTGCCTATGAATCAGGAAAAAAATGAGAAATTAAAGAAAACATACTTGAAAAGTATTTACTATATTACATATATATTCAGGTGAGAGGTGTGTTTTCATTTTACAGGGGATTCATTATATATCATGATAGGTATAGTACTGGTATGTATAGCATATATATTGCATAATGTTATATGTATATCAGTTACATATACAAATTAGATGAAAAGTTATATATATACACATTAGATGAAAAGTGCATCTTCATTTTATAGGAAATTCTTTCAATCAAATAAAAACTCTAATAAAAGTGGACAAAGAACTTTATTGCAGACTTACAAGTTACCAATGTACATAGGAAAAAATCCTTTGCGTTTCTGGTATAAGAATTTAAATTAAAAGAGGAATGAAACTGTTTTCTGTCCACAATATGTGTGAGGATGTTTTGTACTGCTGCTTAAAGTTTAAGTTGCTGATTACTTTATAAATAGACAATTTGGTGGTAAGTACTACATTTAAAAAATGTGTATACTCTTTACCCATCAATTCCATTATACTAAAATACCCTTAGGAAGTAGAGATACTTTGTTTTTTCCAGCACTTATTTTTAAAAGAACAGATAGAATGAATTATATAAATAAATTTCTGTTGCAGCAAAAGGTGTAATGATATGTGACCATTGAATGTGACAATAGATACAGAATTATGTTGATGTGCGAAGATGTATTTTGTTATAGTCAGCAAGGAAAAAATCAGTTTGATTATACATACACACAAACATACTATGGTCTTGTGTTAACAAAAAAATGTGTACAAAATATAATAGCATTTCTAATTTCTTGGCATTTGCATCGTAAGGAAAGTTTTTCTTATCTGTGATGCTGCAGTGAGCATGTATGAGACTTCTAGTAAAATTTATTATTAATGGAATAATTCTTGGAAGAGGAATATGAATCTTGACCAGATAAAAATAATCTCTCACTTTCTGTTTTTTGTCATCATCATTATTATGATTGTGCATTATTATTTTTGAACTTTTAGACTCTTCAGAAATAAAAAGGGAATGTTGC